CCTCCTCTATAAAAAAGATTCCATCATTATTAAATATCATAGCTGAAATATTTTTTGTTGTTGTTTTATAAGCCAGTTTTCTTTAAAAACATAAATCTGAATGATCTTTTTAAACTGTGGGAAGGGCCAAAGAAATGAAGTGACAATTTGCTGGTAAATTCTTAAAAGTCCATTTGATTTAGCTAATATTTAATTTGGAGCATATCTATGTGTATGCTAATAAACAGTTGCAGATGGTGTTTAATTAGCATACAAATTCACTGAGCCTGCACATCCCGCTGAAAAGCACAATGTTTTTTGCAGCAAGTGTATGATCAAGTCAAGCTCTTTTCAGCACAAAGTCTTCCAGAAACATAGCAGGTGTACTCGAGACTTTTTAGTCAGACAAAACTAAAACCACTGAATAGCTCTTATTCATAGACCAAAGAGAAAAGAAATTGCTAAATTACTCAATAGCTTCCCAGTACTTTGTGTAAGTAACCAATAAGCTGAGTCAAAAACCTGTATTAGAGTGATCATCCACTGTGCATTTCTGACAGTTTGGATCCATTGCTGTTTGAGACAAAACCACAGTAAATAGCAAGCACCTTTATAATGCAGGTTGTCCTGGTCTGAGCTAAATGCACCCAGCTACTTCAGCATGACACCTGCTTTGTTTAATGTGACAGCACTGCAGCTGCAAGTTAGTGACAGGACAAGGGGGAATGGCCTAAAGATGAAAGAGGGGAGATTAAGATTAGATATTAGGAAGTACATTTCTCCCCCCTTCCCCGTGTGGCAGGAAAGGTTATCATCAAATGGCCTGTTTAAGCTTCTCATGAGCTGCATGAATGGGAACTTGAAGAAAAACGTTCATGGTGGAAAATGCGTGGCCTGGCCTTTATAAAACTGCCTCCTGCCCACTCAGCTTTCATAAACCTTCATGCTCCTATTTTGGGAGATTTGTGCTCCTATTTTAGGAACTTTCTTTAAGAATTCTATGTAAATGTGATAGTAGAGAATCTCCATAAATTATATACAAAATGCTCTCCTACTCTTGTGATCTATGGTTATACACATAGACCTACTTCATTTTAAACCCATTTTTATACCACAGACTTCATTAAGCACCTCAGTCAAAATACATTTCTGAATATAAACTCTGATGCTTGCAGTATCAACACAGCTGTTTAAGATTTAATCAAACTACTCATTAAATTAGGAAGTGGAATTTGCTCTGTCTTGCAGACCTAACAGACTTAGATCTCTCCTCTGCTATGGCCTCACCTTATCATCCAGCTTGTGTACTCACATATTATTCAACAAATGAACTTTATCAAATAAATGGAACATTGCACATCACAATAATGATGCTCCCTGGGCATACAATTCAAAGGCCATTCTTTAAGAGCTGAGTCAGAACTTGAAAAATCTGATGTTCTGTGAAGAGGGTAATTTTTGTTATGATTATGCTTTTTCCCTGGCCACTACACTTACATCAAATGTATAAAAGAGATGCCAGTCTTTTTTCAAATTCTAAGTAGGTAGAGCAGGAAATTTTTTTTTGAAGCATAGTCTTTTTTTCCTTTCCAGAGATTAACTTGCCCTTTATTTTCTCTTTCTACATCTGTGATTCATCTGTATTTCTTACTTTGCTATAAGACCATATTCCTGCCTGTACACATTTGCAGTTAATTGTTTAATGTCACCATAATATGACAAGGCTTTCCTGAACTATTTACAAATTCAGCATCAACGAAGTCAGACAAGCAAGCGCACTGACCATGAACAGCCATGATCAACTTGGCTGCTGCTGAGTTCTTTGAGACAATCTTTTGAATCTTCCTTCTATTTGTTTCTTCGGGGAGTGGGGAGATCAGACTAATGATGAAGTCAGTTCATCAAGCAGTGTTTGTCATACTATATGCATAACCAAATCAGAAGGTCAAGCCTGAGGAGGGATCAGGGCTGGGACAGATGTGGAAATACGAAACATCTGGCTTTCTAGAACCAGTGAAGTCACTACTCCTGCGAATTCTTCACAGCTCCAAGGTCATCCATCTCTTCTGGTAATGCTATCATCATCATTGTGAGTATCATCTTTCTTTTACATTCACTTACAAGGTTATGAATCTTAAAAGACACCGTCAGCAAAGCAACCACACCTCAGACACAAAATCTTTCTTGCATGTTAAAATTAACACCCTGAATACAACTAAGGCATCAGAGAGAAACACTTCTTTTACTGTATTGTCTTTACATATGGTTGGGTTAGTGGTATTAATTCAAAATCAGAGCACTTAATTTTGGGCCAGCCATCTCCTGGGTAATAGCTCTTTATAAGACATGGAGGTAAAAAACATCAGTGGTGACAGAGGTTACACTTCTGCAAAGAAACTTTTAACAAACACACAACCTTGCTTGGAACAGAAGTCCTGATGTGAATACTGCAGACAAAATCATCACAGTTAACTTTGCATTAGCAGAATTTGTTCAAAGCCTGACAACCAGTTCTGGAATTAGATGTCTTGATAATTCAAAGAATGCCTTTACTTTCTATTCCTTGTTCCTTCCTACCTTCCTACCTGTGTGCCTTTCCTCCTTGCTGCTTCCCTTGGTCCATCCTCCCTTTTGCTCTACCTCTCTCCCTTTCCTCACTTCCACATTCCTTTCTTCCATCTTCTACCACTAAGTATTTTTTTATGTTTCTATGCAGAACACTGGTTCACAAGTACGTCCTACACATACATATTATCATTATTGGTATTGGTATTGGTATTATTGTTATTTATACTAACAGAAAACATAAAAGATTGAAGGGGCTGGTCTATACCTTATGGGCTGCACTGACTGACTGTGAATAGCTAAAGGGTGTTTAAAGGCTACTATACAGTTTGAATTCTGGTTGAGGGAGGAAGAAGGCAGCAGTGACAGCTGTCCAGTATTATGAGCTATGTACATTGCAACAGCATAGTGGAACCGCATGCTGCTGTCACGTCTTCCATCAGAAGTTGTCCTGGGGACCATCTCCTTTATGCCATTGTCCCAGAAACATGCCAGGTATTTGTGATACATGTAAATGATAGTCATGTTCATACATAACTAATGAGGAAGGCAGACCACTTTTTGATGGGTGCATGAACTGTTGGTTATTGAACAGAATACTGTGCTTTTGGCAAGTTAAACCATATAAAGAAGTATCTTCTATTTTATAGCATCATAGACTCATAGAATAGTCAGGGTTGAAAAGGACCTTAAGATCATCTAGTTCCAACCCCCCTGCCATGGGCAGGGACACCTCACACTAAACCATCTCACCCAAGGCTTGGCCTTGAACACCGCCAGGGATGGAGCATTCACAACTTCCCTGGGCAACCCATTCCAGTGCCTCACCATCCTTACAGTAAAGAACTTCTTCCTTAATTCCAACCTAAACTTCCCCTGTTTAAGTTTGAACCCATTACCCCTTGTCCTATCACTACAGTCTCTAATGAAGAGTCCCTCCCCAGCACCCTTACAGGCTCCCTTCAGCTACTGAAAGGCTGCTATGAGGTCTCCACGCAGCCTTCTCTTCTGCAGGCTGAACAGCCCCAGCTTTCTCAGCCTGTCTTCATACGGGAGGTGCTCCAGTCCCTGATCATCCTCGTGGCCCTCCTCTGGACTTGTTCCAACAGTTCCATGTCCTTTTTATGCTGAGGACACCAGAACTGCACACAATACTGCAAGTGAGGTCTCACGAGAGCAGAGTAGAGAGGCAAGATCACCACCTGCAACTTGCTGATCATGTTTCTGTTGATGCAACTTAAGACATAGTTGGCTTTCTGGGCTGTGAGTGCACACTGAAGCCGGCTCATGTTCAGTTTCTCATCAACCAACAGCCCCAAGTCCTTCTCTGCAGGGCTGCTCTGAATCTCTTCTTTGCCCAACCTGTAGCTGTGCCTGGGATTGCTCCGACCCAGGTGCAGGACCTTGCACTTGGCATGGTTAGACTTCACGAAGTTGGCATCAGCCCATCTCACAAGCGTGTCAAGGTCCCTCCGGATGGCATTCTAATCAGAACATCAGAACTTTTGCAGAGTTCTGAGTAGAAGGGCAGCCTTTTTTTTTTTTTTTTTTTTTTAACATTTCCTAACTCTTTTTCCCTGTTCTCCTCCAGCGGTATTAGCTACTGTCAGCCATACTTTCAACTTCTGTTAAAAGGTATGGCAGTAGATGAAGTCACAAAAACTCAGTTTCAGAAAATGAAACTTCTGAGCCGCTATTTCCCCTTGTGTGTTACCCTACACTAAGTGTTGCAGACTGTCATCAGCTTGGAATTCCAGGAAGCTGCGATATGAACTGAGAACAAAGCTTAGAAGAAAGATCAAGTTACAGAATTGAAGCACATCCATTCAATCCATTTGAAACCCCTGGAATTGAATCTCAGGTTTTTACAATGTGATTTTGCTTCAAAACTACTGCAAAAGCAGCCTGATGGAGCTCCCCAAAACTGTTGACAGATCTTGTGTTTCTCAAGACAGCATAAGCACGCATTAACGGGATAGCCTTGCTGCTGCAGAATAGAAGTCTTGAAGGCAAGCTGTTTTCTTCTCATGTCACATATCTCAATGACAAATTAATAGCCCTAGTGATACTTGTGAATTCTACAGCACCATTAAGATAGGATACCAGTGACAGATAAACAATTATGCTTCCTCATAAGGTTTTCTGTAGTTGAATGTGGTAGAATTTTAATCATGATATGCCTGAGGATGACTGAACTGTAATAATACCCATACTCTACTAGCTGGATTTTGCGGTGTCAAAGAAATAGAGGAAATTACATAGGAACAGAGCGGTTGGATTAATCACTCTAAGTGAAAAAATACAGATTAAGGCAAACAAAAGTCAGAAGAATATAATAACTTTCTAGAGTCTCTGGATCACAGTGTTTGTGAAATGCTTCAACAGACATCTGAAAGACTGATCAGAACAATGCACTGAGCTCTCTCTCTTTGCATCTAAGGAAAGTGTGGACATACCAGCTCCTTCTTCTTCATGCACTCCATGAGGATAATGAAGAGGTGCTGTGCCTGGGTTCGGGTGTATGTGAAAGTCTTCTGTATGGTAACTAGCAACTGATCTCTCAAAGACTCATTGATAAGTCTGAAATTCAAAAGGAAAACATAAATTAGAAAACAGATATGAGAGAATATTGCAATTTCAGCAAAGGGTCTACCAAGTAAGAGCTAGACAACAATTGCTGCAGGCTGTTTTTCACAGGTCTGAAGGACAAGAATTGCTGGAACTATCAGAGAAAATTTGGGAAACACAGTTCTAGAAAAACACACTGATCATAGAAACATAGAATCATAGAATAGTTAGGGTTGGAAAGGACCTTAAGATCAGCCTTGAGCACTGCCAGGGATGGAGCATTCACAACTTCTCTGGGCAACCCATTCCAGTGCCTCACCACTCTTACAGTAAAGAACTTCTTTATACCCAATCTAAACTTCCCCTGTTTAAGTCTGAATCCACTACCCCTTGTCCTATCACTACAGTCCCTAACGAAGAGTCCCTCCCCAGCATCCCTATAGGCACCCTTCAGATCCTGGAAGGCTGCTATGAGGTCTCCACGCAGCCTTCTCTTCTCCAGGCTGAACAGCCCCAACTTCCTCAGCCTGTCTTCAAACGGGAGGTGCTCCGTGCCCCTGATCATCTCCGTGGCCCTCTTCTGGATTTGCTCCAACAGTTCCATGTCCTTTTCATGATGAGGGCATAAAAAGGACATGGAGCTGTCTTCATATGGAAGGTTTTCCAGCCTCCTGATTATCCTCGTCCTTTTCTGGACTTGTTCCAAAACTTCCATGTCCTTTTTATGTTGAGGACACCAGAACTGCACACAATACTCCAAGTGAGGTCTCATGAGAGCGGGGTAGAGGGACAGGATCACCTCCTTTGACCTTCTGGTTATGCTTCTGTTGATACAACGCAGGATATAGGTTGGCTTTCTGGTTTGTGAGTTACACTGCCGGCTCATTTTATGTTGGGGTCCCTCACGTCCAAAATTTTTACTTCAGTTCCTACTTATTGCATGACAGGTCATTCAAACTATCAGCTCTGTGGGATTTCATAACAAAAAAACAGAAACATCCTGACAACCTCAATTTGAGGGAGAGCAACACTTAGGTGCTGAAGACCTCTTCCTATCTATGAGTGAGAATTCAACTCATGGCTAATTTTATGAAATTGAGAGCATTTGCGTTGTTAGTGGTTTTGATTTTAGCTTGAATATCCCAAGTTTCAACTCACCTTACTGAAGCTGCATGCGAACAGGTAAGAAAACAAACTCTGTTCCTGAGTCCACTCAAAGAAACCATTTTGCTTTTGTTCATGCTTTAAACTCATCTTCCATGAGTTTAAAGTGTAATCATTTTTACATTCCTCCTCAGTTCTAATGTTAGTACTTGCAAAGAGTGGCCCAACATCAGAAATAAATAGTAACTTACATGAAATATTAGCACTTGGACTGAATCTTTGCTACCAAAAAAGCCTATTCCTTAGGATTGTTCTGGGTGAAACACTACTGTTCTTACTGTCTCAAAAAGTAGTCTGCTCTGATTTAGAACATGTATTCTTTAATGTATGAAAGTTTCTACACTATAGCATTTTTCTCACAAAAAAAAGTGAGTGTTTCAAATTAGCTGAGTCAGACAATTTTACAGACTGTCGTTGTTGATCATCTGAGGAAATGAAAATCAGAGAACCTTCATGACTCATATTTCATGATGAAGATGAAGAAAGATTTAGCCCTCTAGCAACTGCAAAGAATTATCAGAATCAGCATAGTATCTAAAAGTCACTGTTAGCTTATGGAAGCTGCTTTTGGAAAGCAATGAGCAAACCCCTGCTTATTTCATACTGTTGGTAAAAGTTGCCTGTACTTCTGTGCAGCAAGGAAGCCCAAATGAGACTGCAGGATATTCATTGCACAGCTGAATTTCAAATATGATTTAACTATCTAGTCTTTATACCTACAGCAAACATGTCATTAGAAGAGAAAAAAAAATGATAATGGGAAAGAGGTATACAGCTGCATAGGAGAATATAGAACACCTAGCATATGGAGTGCATATATTCTCTGCTCTCTGAATTTGACTTTGACTGTAAATATCCCTGTTGAGGAGGGCTTTCACTTCACAAAGAAGCCTGTAAGGCGTATGTCAATGTGTTTGGATTAAAATGAGTTTACGTGGGATTTAAGACCATGCTGTGGATCACTGTTCTTTCCATGCCTGTGACTATGTTGTCTTCTACTTTATTACAGACTTCTCTTGAATGGAACACATTTCCTCTTTTCACCAAGGAGCACTACGGCCCCAGAGGTGCTTTCTCCTGAGATACCGGAGAGTTGGCAACACTGCATTTACTGCTCACTCACCCTGCAAGCACTCCTTCCCTACAGCATTACCTGCTTCCCCCACCAAAGGGCAACACACGATGAGTCAAAACCTCCAGTTCCCTTGGTGGGCAGTAATGAAAGCTGACAGCAGAGGGCATTCTGTGTGTGGGTTTTAAGAAAATAAATTGACCTCCAGGATAGAACTAAGGATGTTGTAAAGCACATGGGAACACAAAAAAATATGTCAGAGCACGGGCAGAAATGCAGATTTGCTCCATGTTAAACAGAATAAACTGGGAAAGGCTGACATCCTGAAAAGCACTAACATTACTTTGAGTTGCAGATTAGTATGTCATATAAAATATAAATTCTGAAGACCCTTAGGCTTTAAAAAAAAAAAAAATCGCAAATTTGTTTAATCAAGAAGACTGTCCTCAAACAAAATGGTGCTCTCACTGTAAATATAAGTGGTTCAGAGCTATGGAATTTTCCATCCTTCAAACTAAGAAAGTAAAAAGTTAATCTCTAAGAACATAAACTGGAGGATCTAAAAAGAGATGTAAATAATGCTCTGATTTCCTTTGGAAATGATATATAAAAATGAAGTACATTAAGAAGTCTGAAAAGTATATGAAAAAATGCATGGAATTTGAAGAATCTGAAATTAGAGAACTTCAGAAAACATTTCCAAAGATCAGGATTGAAAATAATCCTGTTTCCTCATCACAATTCAATTTCCTTAAAAAAAAGTGTAGAATCCAAACCTGGAATTTCATTACAGAAATTGGCCCTCTGTCAGGCTAATACACACAGCAAGAGAAACTTGGTTTTGTAAGCACTGACTGAAAGCAGGATTAAGTCCTGAGGCTTCATAAGCAGCCATCACTTTCCTAAATTAAAGCTTTCAGAAACTGTCATATCATAAATTTAAATAGCACGTAGAACAAGCTCCATGTGAAAGATAGGGAGATTTTTAAATAAAAAAAAAAGTAACAAGAAGTGGTTCCTTAACCACAGGGTAAACATCTTTTGAAGCACCACTGCTCAGAAACTTCCTATTGCCATCATTTGACTTAAGCAGTTTTCTAGCCTTACTAAGTCCTTTTTGTTTTAACAGCTCATTGGTCTGCAGTTCTACAGCACACATTTTCAGTGTCTTTGTGAGATCAAAAACTTGAAGTGATTCTAATCAAAAATAGAAACAATAACAGCAAGCTCTCTAATAAAGTAATTGTAGCTGACTTCAGCTCTAAATTGAAATCAGTCATATCAAGACTGTACCACACTTACTCCTTAGGAATCTACAAATCTTAAAGGTATCAGATTAAAGTGCCCAATTGGGTAACCCAGCTGTGACAAACGCAAACTGTGCCAGGCTAACTGTATAATGCATACACCAAATCCAATGCATGTTAAACTACTAACTTCACAGACTACTCTGAGCAAAATAACTGTGACTTGCAGGTGGGGAGATGATTTATCCACTGTGCAAAGACAATCACATTTGTTACACATACAACCTTAGCACACATTTTTAAAGTCACTTATTCCTAGTTAAAGAGGTGACTCCTTGAGTCTTGTGATGAGAGGTCTAACCTAGAACTCAGGAGATTCTTAGCCACACTCTTGGGAACAGTATTTTCAGCATGGACTACAAGCCTCATATGCATAAAGCTCCATAGGTGTAAAACTGTTAACTTTACCAGACTGAAATTCTATGATTATGACTTCCTTCAAAGTCAGCATACTCCCACCCTAACAAAACTGCACAGTGTCAGATGAAGACAGCATTTTTATCATCTTTCTGCTAGGCTTCAGTTCTGAAAATATTTTGCAACGTACGAACCAAATCCTGCTTTGGGGCATGGTTCCCTGAATTCCATTAAATTTTGCATAGAAGCAATGCTTCAGGTAACTTCTTCCTCCCTAAATGAAATGTCCTACAAAAAGACAATTTAACCTGTTCTTTTATTTCATTCCCCACAGTTAAAATCTGTTCTTTCAATCCCTAAATACCTACTATATGCCCATTTTCTTACCAGTTCAGATATCCAACATTTTTTTTCTCCCTAGATTATGCATCCCGATTGCTGATGGAATTTACGTATTTACTGTCAAAAATCTGGCATTTAAAGTAGAGCTATATAGATTTTAAACAACTACATTCAGTTTCAGAAAAATAACTACTCATAATCGTTATTAGAGTGGGTTTTTTTGTTTGTTTGTGGGGTTTTTTTTGGCTTTTTTTTTAGTTAGGTCCTGTGGCCCCCCCCCCCCCCCCCCAAAGAAAGATGCCAACATTAGTTTTGATGCATCAGATTATCAGAACTGATCTGTATGACCTTACCACAGGAAGAAAGGATGAAAGATGTCTTGGATCCATCAGGAGAGGCCACTTAAAAACACCAAATTGACAAAGTAAATGAAGTGACATTTTATTTCTGGCCAAGATACGCTGGAAGACTAAACAGCAAAACAGAACTCCCTTCATTGCTATGGCCAATGGAGAAGAGACAGATGACAGCATTTTGGTACCCTCCCTCCTCAAAAATAATTGTTTTTTTTTAAGTAATAGAGATAATAGACACTCCCCTCAATAACATTACAGTCATTCAAACTCATGGCATAACATTTTGTAGTGAACATCAGAGAGGATTTGAAAGATCTGGCTCATAGCCAGGTCCCTAAATTATTTAGTTTTTTTCTCCAGAGAGTTTAGTACTGGAGTTGTACGATGTACTAGAAATTTATAAAAACTGTGTTC